TATCACGTGATACTGTTGTCCTGCCTCAAGTATGTCGACGGATCTCAGGTGACGCAAAGTAATCCCAGGTCCTATTTCTATCATTATGTTTCGGTCAACTCTTTGGCAGGTCAAGTTTTCTCTAAGTTAGTCAGAGTTACATTGCCGTTGATTCAATGTTAATGGTGGAGACAAACAGGGGAACTAATAATTACATCAAAATCGGAGCGGAATAATTCATTTTCTGGGCTTATTTGAACTGGAAAAATAACCGAGAAGAGGAGCGTCGAAGAGAAATTAAAAATCCACGTCTTGTTACCGCGCGTGAACATCGGTCCCTCAAGAAGATAACTGCAATTATGGAACTCTCCTAGTTTAAATGATAGGGTTTTCTTTCTTCCTTCTCTTCGAAGGCATGGATAATAACGAGTGGCATGCTTTACGATATCTCGATTGATCTGCCATTTATCCATGGAAAATGATCGATAAATAGGGTGTTCGCAACGAACACCTCAACAATCGATTCTTCGCCATAGCTTCAAATGGGGAAATATAGATAATCGGTCATTCACGCCTCGCCTCTGATAATTACTCAGCTTATTATGCTGATGAAAGAATCTGGCCAGGGTAAAATTTTTTCGAACGGTGGAAAATTTCCATTTCATGAAGCACACCTACGCAGTATGACACTAATTGTAACACGCATTGTCACGAAATCTATTGTTCTGAGAACATGTTATACCTTTAACAACAAAGTGGAGAAACATTATATAGTTGTCGCAACGAGCATCTGGTTCGGATGAGGAGTGTCACCCTAGGGTGCGTCAAAAAAAATGAAAGTCTGAAATGTTCCGCTCCCCAGGCGGCAATCGATGACGTTTGGTAAAAAAACATGTTTGCCAAAATTTGGGCCAATTTCAATCATTTTAAATGGTGCCAAAGGTCAATTTTATGATGAAATTATGATATTTTGGTTTAGAACTCGATTTCGTACAAAAAACTCGATTTTACGCTGAAATCGTGCGTTTACGAGAAAAATGTCAAAGAACTCGACTTGTAGAGGATGAAATTTTACACTAGGAGGACGTCTTCGTAACCGATAAAAATCAAATTGAACTAGAAAAACTCAACTCGGTATTTATTTTTTTGGTCCTCAGAATTTCCGAGGTCTTACTAAGTAGAGGTTTAAAAGACTCATTTTTCACGGAAATAAGTCGAAAGAGGGTATAAATGAACTGTAGGCAAGTGTTGAGGATGCAAATGTCATCAGAACTTCCTCAGTTTCAAAAAAAGTTCCAACTGTTTTGCACAATCCTCCAAAAAGTGTACGACTCGAGAAGCAGGATCGTGCTATAATAGTAGGGGGAAAGTGCGGTTTGACCGGGAAAAATTGCGTAACAAACTTTCCCTATGTAATCGTCATCAGTAGGTCCTCCTGAACAACTTCCTAAAAGTTAAAAATGGCCCGACCCCGGAATATCCCTCAAAAAAGTTAAAATTGAAAATGGCGGCCTCAATAAGAGGGTCCGGGAAATCGGTATTTTAAAATGCTCATTCTGTCTCATCATGTGAGGTATCATTTCCTATGTAATTTTGGTCGTAGATTTCATAAATGAATTCCGCAAGGTCCCTTCTGAGCTTACGTTTCCCTCGGTAGTCGTATGTTTCCTTTAATTTCCTTTATTAAATACATTTATAACATCAAATTTAAGTTTCTTGGCCATAAATACATGAAAATGAAGACACTTCACTTTCCTTGTTCCTTCGGTGAATATTTAAAAAAATGCAACCTCCTGCCTTTCACATTTGGCCGCCATCTTTGATTTGGAACGCCCCCTTTGGCCGGAGGGCCTTGCGGAATTTATTTATGAAATCTACGACCAAAATTACATAGGAAATGATACCTCACATGATGAGACAGAATGAGCATTTTAAAATACCGATTTCCCGGACCCTCTTATTACGGCCGCCATTTTCAATTTTAACTTTTTTGAGGTATATTCCGGGGTCGGGCCATTTTTAACTTTTAGGAAGTTGTTCAGGGGGACCTACTGATGACGATTACATAGGGAAAGTTTGTTACGCAATTTTTCCCGGTCAAACCGCACTTTCNCTTATTATGCTGATGAAAGAATCTGGCCAGGGTAAAATTTTTTCGAACGGTGGAAAATTTCCATTTCATGAAGCACACCTACGCAGTATGACACTAATTGTAACACGCATTGTCACGAAATCTATTGTTCTGAGAACATGTTATACCTTTAACAACAAAGTGGGGAAACATTATATACTTGTCGCAACAAGCATCTGGTTTGGATGAGAAGTGTCACCCACCTCACGAGTCGCGACCGTCTTGCGTATACAAAAACCGGAAGAGAGTCATAGAAATTTTAAAAAAAAATACGAAAAAGAAGAAAAGTCCATCGTTTCAGAAACTGATAAAGCATTCTGAGTGTCAGTCGATGTTAAACCCAACAATACTTTTTTTTTATCTGACAAGCCAGAGAGTATATATTTTATGGACTCCACACTATCATAACTCCGATCCTCGTCTTGTTGGGTCGAAAAATGATCTTTCTCGACCGACTGTTTTTTTAAGGATCGCAACTAAAAAGATTCGAGGGGTTTAATTAATTTATTTTCCATAACGAGATTTCAAGTTATATTAATTGACCAAAGCCGACCAAAATGATCATTTGTTGACTTATTTTCCCGCCGATTTTCTCCCTCCACGTTTAGAGTGGATGCTTCAGATCGTCGCTTCTCTGACGTAAGGGCGTAACATGATTTCTACGTGACCCCTGTGCTCCATATAACTCTATGCTTTCTAAGGCTCATGCAAACATCTAGATACGCCCTTACGTCAGAGGAGCGACGAGATGTCGACCACCCGCTCTGAAAAAGTGTATGTAACAGTGCAATGCATTCTCGTTTTGCTGGATCTGATTTGCGAATGACACAACGCCCTTCCAAATGTTGATATGTATCGAACATATTTGTTTGAGCCGACCCTCCTTTATCCTTTCCCCCTCCCCTCCCCTCCGTTCATCCTTCGCCTATTTCTCTCCGCTCCCTGCTGTCTTTTCAACTAACTTAATTCGGTTGTGAAGCCACTTTTGCTCTGTTTCTCTCGTTTTAATTTGACCTTCTATTTTCATCATCAATACTTTTTTTTTGCTTTTTCTCGTTTTATCATCTATTGTTGTCATGCTTCCTTTGTTTTTTTGTCTCTTTATTTTTGCTCTTCACGCACTTAGTTTAAGATTTGGTTTTTTTTTTTTTTATTTTCCTTTGACTTGCGGTCAAATGAGCGATCGATGCCCGCTCACCAAGTTTGATTTAACATCTCGAACTATTCGTCGAAATTTTCGCGAAATCTCGATCTGCGAAAAGTTCGAAAATGTTCATTCACTCTTTGGTAGCGGGCAGTCCCTTCCAGCGAGCCATATCCGAGCATCGCCAATTTTTAAGTGACTCATGGAGAAAGCTTAGTTTATCTTAACGGCTGTAAGCAACTTGAAAATCGTCCTTGATGGAATAAGTTTTTTATTTAAAAGATAAACACCGGGAGCGCATTATCGAATCCAGCGAATTGGCAACATTGTTTTTCCCCCCTCGTTTAAGCCTATGGGAATGTATCGATTCTTGAAGGGGCCAGGTGCCCCGACAAGAATCGATTATTTAACGTTGGTTTAAATGGAGGAAATCCGGTGTTGCCAAATTGTTGGGTCCGCCCCTGCGGGAGCGCAAGGATGGGAGGGACTTAGGGGACAGGGGGACACCACGTATGCAGTGGCAGAAAGAGGAGATAATTGAAGAAGATTCTTGAACATTAGTCTTTCCGTGTCTCCGCCAAGAAATTGAAGTCTGCCAAAGTAAGTTACGGCCAAGGTTAAATTTAAATACGGTGCCCGTTCAAATTTGAGAACAGCCTCACAGTTCGTTTCCCAGGACTCCCAGGTGTGGAAGAACCGCTCAAGGGATCTGCCGACGTCCTTGTCGTCATTTTAGAATTTCAAAGTAAAAACAGCATGGACATTTTTTGAAGTGGATACCCGGGGTGTATTTATTTAGAATCTCCCTTGCCATGCTAAAACCCACAATAAAACATCGAGTCCAACTCACCATGATATTCCTCTCCTTTAAAATTGCACATAACGAGGGAATAACTTTTTAAAAAGTATCCGTAATCCGGGATATTTTTCCTCTATTTTCGAGGGTAGCGTAGAAATATTGTGCCCCCCCCCCCGCCCCACCCCCGGAGCCTAGATCTCAATCCTTGCGCACGCCCACACATACACATACACGCAGTAAGAAATCTCGAAGCGAAATCCGAAGTGAATTTCTCTCCCGAGCCTCCCAAGAAAACAACAAAACCCGAGTGGTATGAAGAAGGGACCGTGCTTTGCGATCCCTTCCTTCGAAAGCCAACCTCTCACCCTGTTCTTAAATACGTTAGCTCCCCCCCCCCCCCNATACTCTTCCAAAAACCATCGCAGATAACTTGAAAAATTGCTGTAAAAAGTATGACAACTCCTCAAGAAGAGCGTATTTCGCTCCGTCTTGATGTCACTCCTGTTGTCAGGGAGGAATACACTCCCGAGTGAAATTCACTCCGGATTTCATATAGCTTTTGGTAACAGTCTGCCAAAACGCAGTTTTTATGGAGCTTGGGTTCACGGATATGGCTCGCCGGATGTGAAAGCTCATTTGACCTAGGAAAGAAGTATATTTAATGTACGAGTGTTTGTTAACTTGGGCGAACGATTTCTTTTGCCTCCCCTTTGTCTATATGACTCGATGATGCGATCTATGCTGCGACATTGCCATTGCGATACGGAAACGATTGCCTTGCCACGGACGTTGACGTTGCCGTTGCCGTTGCCGTTGCGTTGACCACGATTGCCGTGTGCCCCGGAACGCTCGCCCTTGCGTGACCCCGGCCCGAACCACGTGACGCCACCCATCGCCGATCGAAACCCCCGAACCCCGGCTGAATTGGACCTGGCCTGGACGCACAGAGCTCAAGAGCGCCCTCTGTAGAAGACGACGGAGACGGACACTTGATTTACCGGCAAGGGGACATTCTCCAGGACAGATGTTCGTGAAACTTGTTGTAACTTGTTACTTGTTGTAATGTTATGTCAAAACCGCCCCCCTTCTCTCCGCCCCACAATGCTTCGAGCCCCCCCGCCCCCCCTCATTTTGGTTTTGAGTAGCTTCTGGTTGCACAGACCTGAAGTTTGAAGAAACTATCAAGTCCGCTAAGGGTTCTAGCTCATCTCATGTTTTTTTTTTCTCTCTCTCTAGTATAATTTCATGTGGACTCCGGTCAAGGCTTTGATAATCATGCATGTTCTAGATGATCAGTTTTACACCTTTTAAGGCACTTTGCGAATTTCTATGGGCGGGAGAAATGTTCTGCACCTGTGCAAGCGAATCGTGAGCACTGAGAACGATTGACCGATATTTTTAATAGTTCAAATTTTTTTGTCTCTGGGGTTCTAACAAGAAATGAAACAAAAACGAAAGAACTTTAAGTAGGCTCCAGGTTTCTTTATTTTGCGCCTCATGAAAGCCCCTCTTTTTTCAGTTTTATTTCGAGAATTTTGGAGATAATTGTACAGATTTTTACTCTCTCGCTTCCTTTGCGGGTATTTTCTCTCTTTATTTCGAGGGTCGTTAGTGAAGGGAGCAAGTAATTATTTCAGTTAATTTATGTACCAGTTAAAAATTACAATTCACGATCAGTAAAAAGCCCCTACTCTTGTTTTGTCAGGAGAGAAGTAAAGAGCTCTCTTTTCAAACGACCCTCGTAGTTTCGCAGTGTTCTGCGCCTTAAACTAAGTTTTCTAAATTTTTGAGAGACTCCGTAAGATCATGCGACTGTTGTTGAATGCCCTCCTTTAAAAAAAACAATTTTCTAGGGAGCTTTTGAATAATTTCCATCGCCATCTCATACTATAATGCAAATTATAATCTCCACAATTTTCAAAGGGAAGTATTCAACAGTCTTATAGAGAATTTTTTTGTTACAAGAAGAAATTCGGCAAAAAATCAGGTTTATAAGGGGGTTTTCCTTAGAACAGTAGTTTGTTCCGCCCCGTGTCTTTCGAGTCACCGATCAGATTCCCATCCAACTGAATTTCTAAGAAGATCTGGAGCAAACTTGAAGTCCCAAAATAACGAGAAAATTTTTTTAACAATTGACATCTACTCTCAAATCGAGGCCCGGTTCTCAGAGCTTCTTTCAACTAATTTTACCTCTAGGGGATGTGTTGCGTTGTGCTTGTTTTCAGGGATCCTAATTTGAATGCTTGCGTTTTAATCAGAGCGTCCTCTCTGTCTTTCATTTGCAGATAATATCCTAGCTACGCTCGGTGAAGGCACCTTTGGGAAAGTTGTTAAAGTCAAGGATTTGACCAAGTAAGTGCCAAATTTCGAATTTCTCATCATATTTTGATTCCATTTACGAGATTACGAGATTTTTTTATTTTTTCCATTTTTTTTTCCACTTGTTTGGTCATTGTTCAATGGAGATGTTGCATGTGTGAAGAATTTGCGAGTTGACTGTTGATTTCTATGTAAAAGTTCGCGAGAAACACGATGGTGCCACTGGTTTTCTCTGAAATCAACTCCCAAGCTCAAAAAAAGCTCTCAAGTTGAAGTCAAAATGGAGGGGATATCCCACGCTATCCCGAGAGTCCACGTCTACATCAAGACAAACTCTCCATGCAAAGATAGGGAGCAAATACATTGACAGGGCTGCCACTTTATTTGGGGACTCCAAAACTGAAAACACGGCAACCCTGCTAATGTATTTGCTCCCTATCTTCGCATGGAGAGTTTGTTTCGATGTAGAGGTGGACTCTTAGGGTAGGGTGGGATAGCCCCTCCATTTTGGCCTCAACTCGAGAGCTTTTTTTGAGCTTGGGAGTTGATTTCAGAAAAAGCCAGCAGCACCATCCTGTTTCTCGCGAACTTTTACATAAGAATCAATGGGCAAATCGCAAATTCCTTACACATGCAACATCTCCATTGACCTGCTGCTCTGGAAATGTTTATCCGACAACAAACTCGTAGAAAACGGGCGAAAATGAGTATGCGTATGCGTACGCGCGAGGACTAGCGACTCCCACACATGATCCAGGCCGAGTGACCTAGATCGACCTATCGCTCGATTCCAGTTTGGATTTATTTTTTTATTCTTTTTTTCCGAGTTTCATTCGTACCAAGATTTTTCGTCCCGATCCGGGGGAGGGGGGGGGGGGTCACCCCCGCGTGCACCTGTTCCAGAGCTTTGGCCGTGATGTTCTGCGTGCAGTGTGTCAGCACTGCGTACATTTCCTTAACGGTGGACAGCGCCATATGTCGACGAAGGACATGACGCCGCGACGGACGCGCTGCGCCGCCGCATCGGCGGCTTTGACGTCGCGACGCGTTGCCATGCTACGGGAGGGACGCTTGAAAGCAATGCAATCGACGGGTTTTATAGGAACGTCGTTAGCAGGTTTTTCACGGTCAGGGAATTGCCGAATGCCGGGAAACGTCAGGGAAAATTACGAAAGTTTTAGGGAGAAATTGTTAAATCACCTTTAATTGCTTTCTAGAATGAGTTTGGCAATTTGAACATGAAATTTTGCGTGGAAACCATTTCAAATTACGTTTTTTTAATCGTCTGGCGTGTCAAAAATTGTCAGGGAATTTTACCCACACGTGTTAGGGAAAGCAGGGAATTTCATTTTCTAAAGTCTGTGGCAACCCTACATTTACGTAGGGTGAATTTTAAAGTTTACTTCTTTTGTTGACTCAATTTTGATCAATTTTAGGAAAGTTTTGGAGACTTTCGTAGCACTGCCTCTCCTATGACTTAGACGAGAATAATAGGATAGAGTTTAACAAAAGCACACCAAATTNTTTTTTTGTAAAAAAAAAAAAAAAAAAAAAAAAAAAAATCTCTTGATAAAAATTTCAAGTCCAAAATTTTTTGTTTATTTTATTTTACTGTTTTGTTTTTTTGAAAATTTGAATTTTACACACATATCCTCAAACCACAGCAACATTTTTCGTCTCATGGGAAGTGAAGGGAACTGAAAAGCTCAAGGAGAGGTTGAAAATTAACAGGCAATTTGAGCACCTATAAGGCCAGATAATGTTCAACGCCCTCATTTCTGCTTTTCATACCAGAGGAATCGAACCCCATTTTTGTGCGATTCTAGCGTTCCTGCGGAAACATGAGCTGTCGTGCATTTTGGAACATACAAGTAATTTTGACATACATGAACACACATTTGTTGGGGATTCCTTTTCCGCACTCATGACTGACAGCATTTTGAGAGCAATTTGGCAAGCATTCACAATGTTAATTCGGTCTCTGACGAAACTCTGTATCGTGGATCATAATAGCATTACGTGTATCATGACTCATAGGAGGGGTGCCTCTTGAAGCCTCTGGAGCTCGCCAGAAGTACCATCTTGACCGGAGACCGGAGTGCTTACCAGCACCCTCGCCAAATTTTGGAACCTTTCGACAATAACGCATAAAAACCCTAACTTCAATATTTGATGATGCTCTGCTGTAACAATGATCTGAACCGACAATTAAATCCCGAGACTAAATTCAAAACGACTCTAATGTAGATCTTTTTAACTGACGCAGCTCCTCCGTCATCTGTTTCTTTTGGTAATCGTCGTCAACGCGTCAGGTCCCCAAGAAGTGCATTGGACGTTGCCGATTTAGATAACAATGTTCCTTAAATTTAATTCGGAGTAGAGCCGAGTGTTTTATCCGTTTGACGGCCTGTGGGAAAATCTCAGGGAATGTTTGGTGACCTGAACAAGTCTGGACTTTGTTGTCCTCGCAACCTCTTACTATTCTTGAGGAGACAGAAATTAGAAAACATATTTTTTATTTACATTTTCGGTTGATTACAGATGGAAACGCAAGTAACGAACATAACGAAACAGACTAAAAAATAAATGATGAGCAGTGTGAAAACTTCAAGTGATATTTTGAAATCATGAGGTTTTTCGAAAAATTATCAAGGATCAGGAATATCCGATCTTTAGGGATTTTAACACGTGATGAACAATAAATTAATTTACACAAAATGGAACTATTGCTCTTATGACCCCACGAACTAAGATTCCTGGGAAACAGGAAAGAAGGAATATTCAGGAGATGGATCCAGAAACTGAACCTGGTCACGGTATGTTTTGATAAATGGAGGGTGATACAGAAGACGTCGCACCGTGTTGCGAGCCTTGTTTATTACTAGCAAGTTTATTTGTTCTATAATTATAATAAATTTTTTCTCGGTTTTACGTAGCGGAATTTTCCTCGCCCGAACAATTTCGAAATTCTTTCTTATAAAAAAAAACTCTAAAAATAAAAGAATTTTCGTGACTCAATAGACCAGGAATTTGCTGTAGCTTAGTAAGGAAAAGTTGATAAACGTTTAAAAAAAAAAATCAGATTAGTCAGGGGCCGAATTTTGTCGGTCCTGCTTAGCGCTGCTGATTGGTCGGTGGTGCGATTTGAACTCATCGATAAATGTTGCGTTTCCGTGTGAAAGAGCCGACAAAATTCGGCCGCAGGCCTTTTTTTCATCGCAAAGCCAGGTACTTCAGACAGTAAGAGTCACGGATTTTACCCGAGAAGTCGAAGAAAAGTCGCGGAACTTCACAATTTTATCGTTTGCATTTCGCTCGATTCAATGAATTGTCATGAATGTAGTGGCTTTTTCCGGGAGGACCAGGAATTTTGTATTAATTTTCGATGACTACTCAAGAAAGGCGCTTTGTCCTTCGGTGCTCGACGGATTATTCAAGGCTCCGTAAAATTTGGCGACACCCGACACCCCTCTCCCGTCCCTCGGGTCCCTGTTATATTTAGCTCCGCACCGCCGTCTGAGATTTGGGCCAGAACTATGAGATAGAGAGAGAAAGAGGGACCGAGAGAGAGAGTCAACGTGTCAGCAGAAAACAAGGAGTAAACAAAGACAGAATCACGCGGCGAGATACTTTTAAGTATCGAACTCGATAACGACTTCGCCGTCGCTGTCCGACCCTCGCGCGAAACTTAATTCTTCTCGGCATTTTCTCTTTCTTCGCCTCTTTTTTTCGGTCGTTTGTTTATTGCAGCATCCGCACCTTTATTATTCGCGACGCACAGTGGAGCGATTCCACGGGAGAGGTCGGCAGGGTTGCCAGCGACCGGGAAAACCGGGAAAAGTCCGGGGAAAAAAATCAACCGGGAAAAGTCAGGGAAAGTCAGGGAATTTCGGTGTTGGTCAGGGATTTTTCTGATTTTTCGTGGAATTAGGCGCGGGCGGTCTCGGGCTCGCGTTGCGGGATCAACTGGATCAATTTCACTTTAACAGACTGCGTCAGATCCATACTTAAAAGTCGGGGAAAAATATTGGAAAGTCGGGGAAAAGTCAGGGAATGGAAAAAAATAATTTGGCTGGCAACCCTGGGTCAGACATGTCTATAAAGGTACTCTAGTCGGACAGGGTGTGGAAACTTTGGAAGCTTGTATTTTTGTCGCAGCAAGACGTCGAAGTTTAAAGGTCCCATTGGGTCTCTTGTGAAGTAGATCGTATTCGATACATCAAATAGGTGATATCGCACCGATATCGATTGGTTCAACGTGTAAACATAGCCGCAGAAGTCGATTTTAGAATCTGAGGGAACGGGTCTTTTGTGATTGATTTTTAATTCTTTCGGGTATCAAAGGGCAATGAAAAGTGATACTGTTTGGAATTCTCTAATTTACAGATTTTCCAACTTGAATTCTAAAATTTTTGTCTGAGGTTATGTTCTATTGTTTTGAACCAAACGATGCATCTAACCACCATCGAATACTATCCATTCCCTTCACGAAGCACTCCGTAAAATTTATAATCCGACGAAATTGACGTCAAACTGTGCATTTTTAATCGAAAATTTCACGTCCGACCTCTTTTTTAAAATTTGATCCATTGTGCGATGCTGGGTCCATGTCCACATACTCGAATTACTTCTAGTGCCTCTTCATGGGGGTGAAGCACTGTACTGCCGTACCAACGAAAAGCTTGGTATAAACATTGAAATTATTCCCCATAAAACTTTTTTCTATCTTTCACGCGCCGTAATCGGTTGTAAAAGTCATCGCAATTTTTAAATTCGGGAACGTTCGTTACGTCATTTTGCGTAGACATGCGTTCTTGAAAACAGAAAATTCTAGGTGGCGGTAGCCACCCCGGCCCAATCCGGAAAACTCCCCCTAAAAAATGACGAGACCAAATGATTAATAGTACGTTAAAAATCCCTCTTTGTACAAAGCTCCAGCTTCTTACCACTAAATAACGAGGAGTTCCATTAATTTAAAAGAAAAAAAAATGGCAACTTTGGGAGTACATAGCTCACTCATGAAGCGTTTCCGG